CTTTTGTATTTTGATAAACACTGAAGAAGCTGGAGCTGTTAAATTTATCTTGGGGAAACCTCAGAACTGGTTTATTTGGTGTCGTGGAACCTCTTAATGCTTTCAATACACAATTAGTAATCAACTGTTTTGTATACTTGTTTTCAGTTTTCATTTCGACAAGCACTGTAATTATAGCTATTAGAATAAAGTCTCTTAACTATTTCACGGGCTCCAATGTTTCTGTCTCCTGCAAGGTAGGAAAGAGTCGCTTTCATGCCAGGAAGTACAGGTGGTACTTTGCTCCCCAAGTCAGGCCTGACCATGCGTAAGAGGGAAAGCCTTCTGGAAGTCTCATTTCGACCATGAAAGCATCCTCCAGCTTATCAGTGCCACAGGAGGTAGCCAGAATAGGAGTCAGCAAATGCCGTGGCCACCTCAGCACCCAGCAGCTGGCAAGCAGGTCCAAGTCTACTCTCCCTCTGGACAGTGTCCCCAAGAAGAGGCTGCCCTGGAAGATGGAACTCACCTTCATTTCCTGGAATAAGAGATAGCAGCGTCCACTCAGGCTATCCATGTGCAGGGCTGAGGGCAGTGTACAAGTCAGAGTCCAGACCTCTAGAGGACAGCTTCAGGATCTGTCCTGGGCCACACCCAGCATTTTCAAGTTTCTTTTAGAATCAGCAGAACTAAGCATCATTAAAAAAATCCAGCCTGGGCTCTGCCCCAGGTCAGTGTACTAGTCTAGCCCCACTGGCAAGGCAGGCTAAGCCCCTGGGCAGGTTGAAGAGGTACCTAGAGGCTCTAGGTATCCCCACCACCTGACCTTGTCATCAGCTACCCAGCTGTCAGGCAGCTCCACACTACTGCTAGGCCAAGACCATACTGTGAATGCAAGGCCATTGCCACTGTCTCCTTTTAGTGGGGTTTCAGGAAACTCCACACTATCCTTTCATTCTTGATGACACACTCGTGTTTTAAGGTATTTATTAAAATACAAAGAGTGAGTCCATACAAAAAGGAATAGATAACCACACTTGGTTTTAACTAAGCCTCTGATGGGCCTGGATGGCTACACAGGAGTCTAGTCTCTGCAAGAGGCTCTTAGGCAGGTGCAGATCTTGTCTGGCAGCAGGCAAGACCAGGGATGGTTGTCCCAGAACCCGTTGGGTTCTATGGACTCCCTTCACAGGAATCTGGAGGGTCTCCACAAAGCAGGTTCCTCTCGAGTTGGCCAGCCAGCTCATATGGCCTGGCAGGCACAGTACACAGCCTTTGCCTCAACCCAGACAGGAGGCCTTTCCCTGGGTGGTCCAAAGGGCCAACAGGGTGGGAGGAGCGAGCTGGCACCCAGAACACATAGGGTCCAGTCGTCCTCTCATGCCCCACAAGGTACAGTGGTGGGCAGGGTCCAAGGCTCTGGCCTCCATTGACCCAGCTGCAGTCTCAAGCATCAGAGCCTCGGTCCTGACGTCTGTAGGATGGGCTCCTTTCACTGTCCCTGCTATGTCCCCGCTTCCTCCTCTTGCAGCAAGGGGAAGAGGAGTCAGAATCATGCCTCTGGCGCCCAAATCTGAGGAAACAAAGATAGCCAGACACATTCAGGGGAAGGACCCTGGGTGGGCACCCAGCTGTTAGATTCCAGGAGCCCCAGGGCCTTGCTCAGGAATTCCTGACTACTCCATCAGGCCCCAGCCAGCACTGGATCCCCAAAGCAGAGCAAGCTGACTGTGGGCTTACCGAACAGGAGAAGGGGATGAGGAAGAGGCATCAGCCTCTTTCTTGGACTCCTTGTCTTTCTTCATCTTCTGTTTCTTATGTTTTTTCTTTTTCTTTTTCTTCTTCTCCTTCTTGCTTTTCTTGTGGCTCTCAGTGCTTAAAAGTAAATATTTAAAAAAAGTCAGAGGCCTAGCATTGGGGTACAGGAGACAGCCAGCTGAGGGACCAGGGCAATCCCACCAGCAATCCACATGCTCCTGCACTGCAGTAACCAGCACCTACTCATGGCTTGTGGCTCTGTGACAGTAGTAAAGGAGCCTAAGAGGCTCCTCATTCACTGGGCCACATTTCAAGAACTAGACAGTAACATTCTGCCAATAGACTGGAGCATCCTGTTAGGAAAGAAAGCACTGCAGGACAGTGCCTGCTGGGGGTATCTCAGGTCCTACCACTGCACCTCCCACTAAACTAAGTGGGATATCCACTTTTCTGAAGTGACAGTTGTGCCCTCCCCATCAACCCACTTGGCTCCCCAATCTCTGTGTTGCCAAGCTCCTCTGGCCTCCTGGCAGGCAGGCCTGTGAGGTCAGCCTGGGACCAACCCAGGGAAGCTTCAAGGGCTGCTGGCGCCTGGCCTATGCAGGAAAAGCCCCCACCAGCTGTGAAGTGGGCTCTGTCTCCAACTGCGACCACTGCAGCCCCACAAACACTCCCCAGGGGACACATGAGAGACAGGCAGCTCCAGTTGCTGAGACTCAGGCCCCTTGCCTTACCTCGGCTCAGCCTCCTCCTCCGTGCGTGGCCTCCTCCTGGAAGCTGGACAGGTGCCCGGGCTGCTGCTGTCCACGCGGTGATGCTGCGGGGGAAGCAGTGCCGTGGGGAGGGGCAGGCGAGGATGTTGGGGCCTGGCCCCCCTATCCCCACGCTCTCCCCAGTGGCACCCCCCTGGCTCCCAGAGCACTAAGCTGTGTGCGTGGGGGGGGAGGGTTACCGTGAACACCGACAGCCCCAGTTTGGCAGCCTCCTTGTCCTCCCGGGACAGTGCCACGCGGCCGGCGGAACCACTGTGGGGACAGCGCGGTAAGGACGGCCCTGGACTCCCACCTCGCCCCCTCCCCGCCCAACCCACCTCACCTGGCGCTGCCCAGCCCCAGCAGCCGGTCCACACCCTTCTCCTCGGGGTCGCCTCCCTCCCGCTTGCAGATCTCCACAAAGTCCTGCAGGTACGGAGAGGACGGTAGGCGCTCGGCCGACTCTGACGGACCCCAGCCGGCACCCGGGGCCCTACGCCCGGCTTACCTCCTTGCTCAGGCCTGTGGGCTGTTTCCTCACGTTCTTGTAGCCACTACGAAGGCCATGGGTGGAATCAGGGGTGCGACCCGCCCCGCCAAACCAGGCCCCAGCTCCCCGCGGCTCCGCCCCGGTCAGCTAAGCCCCGCCCTCCAGACCCGCTCACTCACAGGGCGGCGAGCAACGCCTCGCGCTCCGCCTCCCGCACGGCCGCCAGCTCCTCCTCACGGCTCGGTCCTTCGCGCGGTGCACGATCCTTGGCGTACCAGGTGAGGTCGCGGCCCTTCTGCCAGCGGCCCACGGGCGCCATCAGCGAGTTGCCCAAGTAGTTCTCCCTCTGCTTGTCGGTCTTCACGTCCTCCCAGTTGAACTGATCCTGTCCGCCGCGTACGCCGCCACGGCTGGAGCCGAACATGGTGCCTGGCGGCGGGGCAACCACAGGGCCACCAGCGAGCGAGGAACACAAGACCGGACTACTCTGCCGATCCCGACGCGCGCCGTGACGTCACGCCCCGGCCGCCGCATGCGCCTGCGCAATGCATCACCGGGCCGCCTCCACTTCGCCCTACCACCAATCTCGTCCCAGTTTGCGGAATCGCCACGCCCACTCGGCCACGCGCGCCTGCCCACTGCGTCGTTCACTGAGCCTGAATTCCGCGCAGCCTCAATCCCGCTCGCTTGCGAATTTTCTTGCCCAGTCGCTTCACGCGCATGCGCACTGCCTTCATGGCCGCCGGGCCCGGAGTGCCCTGTGTAGAGGCTTGTCGGACCGAACAGTGCCTGTGCGACAGCCGTCATCAAGAAAGCCACTGTGTACACTACACTAGGACCCAGAGCGTCCCATGAGCTCCGGTGGCGGCAGTGACTGCGCCCAAGCCCGCCCACGGCGCGTGGGGGCGCCCCTGACCGAACGGACCCCAGGCGCAATGTTCCGTCAGTGTTGAAGGTGTTGCCCAAACCCTGAAGGAAGCGGCTCTGGTTGAAGCAGTTCCCCTAACACTGCGTGCCTGTGTAACTGCACACCACAGCCCTCTGTTGCAGACATCCTGCCTCGATTTTTTGTAGTTGAAGGACAGCATGCCTTTACTTTTTTTATGCGGTGCTGATGGAACCCAGTCTCTCAAGTGCTAGGCAAGCACTCTGCCACTGAGCTATAGCCCCAGTCCTATCCCCACCTCTTGCTGCCCCTTGTGAAGATAAACTGCAGCCCTCTATAACCAGTTTCCTAATAAATGCTGTGGACCCATCACTCTGGCAGTTAGTACTTCTTTCTTACAGATCCCAACCAACCCTATCTTGGGAAATTTAGGACCACTTCTTTTTGGGACTTACTCTTCCACCGTTTGGGGGGCCACTCCAGCTACAGGTTCAGTGAGGGAAAAACAGACACCCAGGGTCCTGTGGTTTTTCTTACCCAGTCTCTGGTACTTTCAGATAGGAACGCAAATAGACAGCCTCACCCCACCCCGCCACCCGCAATGGATTTACTCTACATATGCACTGAGCATCTACAGGGGCAACAAGTGAGGCACTGGGATAAACCCTGAGCTTGTGTCCTGGTTCTGAAGAATACACGGATCCCATGGGAGCAGAAGCTTGTGGCATGGGCAGTCTAGGGGAGACAAGCAGGAAGCAGTGGGCACTGGGCAGCAGTGTGGGCCATAGTAATGTGTAGAGAAGTCATCTGGCAGGCTCCCAGGAAAGAACTCTCAAGAAGGTAGGCAACTCCTGAGGGCCCCACTTCTGGGGCCAGGCTAGGTGTATGTGGAAGCTCAGTTATAGTGTTTGAACACAGTATGTGTGCTGAGTGTGGCCAAGAGGGGACAGGGGGTATGTGGCTGGGCAGCTATAGTCCAAAGCCATTAGCCTAAGCAACCTTGAGGAGTGGACACCAGTCACAATGAGAACCGAAACCTGAGACAGCCAGGTACAGACTTGAGCAGGATCAGGATCTCAGAGCACCCAAGACGGACAGGATGAGCAGAACCAGGACCTGGGATGACCCAGGACAGGCACAAGCCTTTTTTGTATCCTCCTTTCCTTGATGCACGTTGGCATCTGGAGGGAGTTAGATTTTACCTACATCAGGAGTACAGAACACAAGGTATGTGTTCACAGGCCTTGGCTGTATGTAACCAAACCCAGGTTGGACATTGCATGGTTCCCCTATCAGGGGACAGAGGCCCCTAGGTTGGGGATGTGCCTGCTCCTAGTGTTAGGGAGCACCTGTGAAGGGAGGCAGCTGTAGGCTGCAACCTAGAAGTTTCTGCCTCCCAGAGCACCCAGCTGGAGCAACAGCCCTGAGTGCTCCTGAGATTAGAAGGGATCTGAGAGTTTCTCAGAACACCCAGCTGGCGGTTTCTGGTTGCTTCCTTCCCTGGCTGCCCACATGCTCCGTGGCTTTGTAGCTCTATCTAAAACTCACAGATTTCACCTAAACCCATCCCAAACCCTCCAATCTGCTCTGAGCCCCACAGCCCCATCCGGCTCTGAGCTTTTATGTGTATGTCCCTGTTGTGTGTACTGGGGACTGAACTCAAAGGCACTCTGCCACTGAGCTACACTCCCAACTTTGAGACAAGGTCTTGCTAAATTGCCCAGCCTATCAAACTTGCCATCCTTAGCCTCCTGAGTTGCTTGGATTACAGGCCTGTGCCACCACACCCATCTTGAGTCTGTGAGAGGTGATGAGCTATTATGCTGGGCACACACCTAAAGGAAGACACTGACAAGAGGTGGTGATTTCAGGTACATGCAATTTACAGAAAGATGTCCTTCCATCCTCAGACTGTCCTCAGGCAGTTTCAAGCCACTGTCACTTCTTAGTCTTGATCCAAAACTGTCTGTAACGCTCTGTGTCAAAGTCATCAGCAAACTCTGGTTCTTCCTCCTTGTGTCTGACCTGAGCCTCTCGTTTCCGGATCCTGGACCGGCGCTCCTCAGGAGACAGGGTGTCCAGGTCTAAGGGCATCTGAGTGGGAGAGAAGCCAAGGTGTGCCCCCATACCTTGTTCTGAGAAATAGAACTACTGAGTTGATGCCACTGAGACTTACAGTTGCCTGTGTCTTCCGCACTAAGCTAACTTAATTATTTTTTTCAGTGCTGAGAATCAAACCTAGGTCCTTGTGCATGCTAGACCATTGCACTTCCAATGAGCTACATCCTGAGGCCAATTTTTTTTTTTTTTTTTGTACCAAGGATTGAACTCAGGGACACTCGACCACTGAACCACATCCCTGGTCCTATTGTGTATTTTATTTAGAATCAGGGTCTCACTGAGTTGCTTAGCACCTCACTTTTGCTGAGACTGACTTTGAACTCACTGTCCTCCTATCTCAGCCTCCCAAGCCACTGGAAATACAGGTGTGCATTACCTGGCCTCAGTCCAATTTTTATACATTGTTTTTTTCTCCCTTAAAATCTTGTTTTTCTTTGTGTGTGTACGTGTGCGCGCACGCGCGCGCGCGCTATACCACCGAGCTACACCCCCTGCCCTTTTTGAGACACTCTTGCTAAAGTTGCCCAGGCTGACCTCAAACTTGTGATCCTGCCTCAGCCACCTGAGATGCTGAGATTACAAGCCTGTACCACCGCATCCAACTAACCTTTCATTTTATTAGGAGACTTTTTTTTCTGCTCCACTTCCCCAGATTTGGTGTTTTTAAAAGACAGTGACGTACTTACCCTATCTGGTAAATGGAGAAAATTCTGGTCTAAACCATCCTCCTCTCCTCCAGCAACCTGTCCCCCTCCTCTGGTAGTGCATTACAATGACCATGCTACACCTGTCATCATTCAGTGGCCAGAGGTCCCACCACCATGGTTCAGCCTCCATCAGGGCCCCTAGCAACACCTGGTGATAGATGCTTACTGTCAGCATGCGCCGTGGCTCTCTGTAGCGGATGTGGATGGTGGAGCCGTCCTGCTTGACCAGCAGCACTGGGTAGAGGCGTGCATAGGCCTGGCGATGTAGGCGAGTGAGCACAGCCCTGCTGCTGTCAGCCAGCCAGGAAGATGTGTGCAGGCAGCAGAGCCTAGGGGCAGCTGCCTTCACAGCACTCTGTTGGAGCAGGCTACAGACAAACATGAAAGAGCTGGTCAGTGGATAATGCTGGGGCAGAGAGTACCAACATGGTCAGGCAAGCCAGACATCATGTTGTCATGACAGAGAATTCCCCAGCTGCCAGAGACGCCAGCAACACTTGGTGATCCACACCTAGGGGTCCTTGAGGAGCTACAGGCCATGATGGAAACAGCTCTGGCCCCACAACCAGGAAAAGGCAACAGTGGATGATTGAGGGAACATGTCTCCCAGCACTGATGAGCTGACAAGGACAAGCAACTTAACATTGTCCTGTCCTGGTGAGAGGTGCCATGGCAGAAATCCTAAGGGGCCTGAAAATGCATGCTTACCCAAGCAGGTTGCCCACAGCCGCCATTCTTCTTCAGGGACTTGGTCAGTCACTGGCTCTGGTGTGTAATCTGCTAGCCAAGGAAAGGAGAGAGTTCTACAAAAAGGTTTTTCTATTTCATTGCTCTTCATAAAATCCTGACCAGGAATGAGTCACTGACCCATGTAGGTGTCTGACATGCATACCAGGTTGTTCCTTAGTATATGTGGGGAATTTATTCTAGGAGCACTCAACAGATACCAATATCCATAGGTCTTAGGTCCCTCATACATATGGTAGTACTTGTATATGACTTGTACATATGTTCCTAAATACTTTAGACCATTATAAAGCCTAATAGAATGAAAATGCCTCATAAGCWATATACTATTTTATTTAGTGTATACTAAGGGAGTGAAAACTTCTCAAAACTGTTGATCTTAAGGACTCTCTTGCTAGCAAACTTTATATTTTGGGCCTGAACTGTGCCTTCAATGCAGTTGCTGAGAACAGCTTGCAAGTGCAGAACTGAAGCAGTTTGTGCAATCAGTTTCAACTTGCAGGAACTAACTTTATTCTAATTGAGCACACTGGGGTTCTCCCTGTTGAAGCATGAAGCAGACCACTTCTTAGAGCTGGTAGGCACAATTTCACTTTGAATCATCTGTGCCATTGGTAAACTGCCGTCAGTTGCAGGTGGGCACCTGCATTTCAAGTGAGTTTTCTGAAAAAAGTCTGATGAATGGATTTCAATGAAATTTGGGGAACTGACTTCTCAGGAGGCCCACTATCCTCCTTGAAGTCGGTGATCCTAAACACACCAACTGGTAAACGTTCACTGTAGACTCAAATGTTGTTTTTAATATTTTAAATCTATGGTTGGTTCATTCCTTGGATAGAGGGAAGAGTGATCACCAAGTCACTTGCCAATCTATCCCACTAATTTATTGGTCTTCTTGAATTGGAATGTCCTGTGAGGAGAGGTGAGTGAGGGGAGAGGTGGGGTTGTGGGGATGGGAAAGATGGGAGAATGAGACAGATGTTATTACCCTATATACATGTATGATTATGCTACTGGAGTGACTCTCTCTGCACCATGTACAGCTAGAGGAATTAGAAGTTGTGCTCCATTTGTGGACAACATGTCAAAATGCATTATACTGTCATGTATAACTAATTAGAAAAAATAGAATAGTTTAAAAAAAAAAAGAATGACCTGTGATTAACTTTCCTAAAAGCAGCTACCAGAGCTTTACTCCGGAA